TACACGCTGTCTTCGAGAGCCGCCCTTCTGGCAGCATTAACATGAACTATTGTACATATAGCCTACAATATGGATCATTAATGAATAACGAACATCAAAATCAATCCATATTTGTATAATACCAAGAGTTTTAAAGCAATATGAATAACGTTACATGTTCCAGTAGTGCACATTTGACACTCAGCTCATATTCCGGTTGTATAATGTTTTTGTTCTTGTATGTTTGTGTATAGACGTGGGGAGTGCAAACAAAAATTTATGTCTTACGAGCTAACGGAGACTTCTGGGAGGCTGTTGTATCACAGTGCAAGTGAGTCCCTACAGATGTTGCATGCCTGTTGGGTTTGGAGTTCCTGCTTTTCTGGCCGACCCAATATGTAGATGATAGAAAAAGATATGCAAAGGTACAATACCAGTCAAAAGTTTGGACTCGCCAAGCCGCCTACAAAGGAGAGTGGTAGCATCAGTAGAAATGGTTTTGGAGGAGTTTGACTAGAGAGTGAAGGAAAAGTGGCCAGTGAGAGCTCAGCATAAATGTGGGATCTCCTTCAGGACGGCTGGAAAAGCATCCCAGGAGGCCACCTCATGAAACTGGCATAGGGGAGACAGTAGGGTCAGCCAGTCCCTGGGGCAGTTGGGGTTAAGGGCCTTGCTCAAGGGCCCAGTGGTGGGATCAATCTGCTGACCACAGGATTCGAACCAGCAACCTTCTGAGTCCAAACCCACAGAGCTCCCCCCAACAAATAATTATTTTTTTGTTTAGTGCATAATTCCATATATTTTACTTTATAGTTTTGATGTCTTTATAATTGTTCTAAAATGTAGATTATAGTACAAATAAACCTTCCTACGGATAAGTGTGTCCAAACTTTTGACTGGTACTGTATATAAAACAGTGAATGGAATGGTCCTTTAACCTGAACAATACTGAAAGCCCTCACATGTTGGCATAGCATGTTGGGTGGCATTATAAAGCTCGATGACATAACGTTTCTAATCCTGTGTTCTGGCCTGTAGAATGGAAGGCTGACGTGGATGCGTATGTGGTCCGCACTAATTACCATGAATATGCCATCGTGGTCATGATAAAGCAGAAGCAGGGTGGCAACAAGACCACCACACTGAAGCTCTACGGTAATGACTGACATGGAATGACATGGGCGAGAGAAAAACATCAAGTTTTCTGTCAGTGTCACTGTACTGCTGTGTAGAGATTGCATGTATGTATAGAAGACCTACCTGCAGCTGTTTCTGCTATTTAATGTACTTACTTTTATATTAATATTATTAAATCATATAGTAGAACTCAATAAAAATGTTGCAGGTTCAAATACTACAGAAAGGGGGTTACTGTGCTATGGTGGCTCTCATTATGGTCTTTATCTTATTTTTGCGGGATTTCCAAAGGTAAATTTGTTTTAATATTGCTTATATCACCAAGTAAATGTACAATGAATAACGTCTCTCTGAATGATTGTCATGAGACATGCAAATCTCACGGTTTATCAGGTCGCAGCCCGGACCTGCGTCCTAGCCTTGTGGAAGAGTTTACCCAGCTGGCCAAAGAGCAAGGACTGAACGACGATGCCATCATCATTCTGAAGAAGACACGTATGCCCCCTCCTTCAGCCATAACATACTCACATCTGAAAGCAGAGGCCAGAACTAACCCTTTGAACTTACTTGTTTCTCTCTGCAGAGGAATGTGTTCCTGGAAAGCCAGCCCAGTTGCCAGAAATTCAGGTACACAAGATTAAACCTGAATACACTCGATCTTGTCTTCACCTGTCTTCTCTATTCCCCATGCTCACTTATCTCCAACCTTGTCCACAAACAGAGAATGAAAAGAAACGTTGTCCTGCCTTCACCTGAGGAAGGTTCTGGAGGCGCAGACACACCCATGTTTATAAACGCAGGTATTTCAGTATCCTGTGACTAGGGGGCAGGGGGCAAGTGACTGGATTTCAATTCAGAATCACAAGCTTTTCTCCCCTAACTCATTGGTACCTTTTCTCAGACTCCTGCATGAGCCCACCAGACGGAGGCCCGTGTTTCGCCATGTTTACGCGCTATTTCTACAACTCCACTGTCATGGCCTGCCAGGAGTTCATCTTTGGCGGTTGCCTAGGCAACCAGAATAACTTCTTGACTGAAAAGGCTTGCCTTCAGACATGCCGCACTGAAGGTACAATAAGAAACATCATAAATGTAAAGTTAAAGATCTGAAGAAGGCTACTTTTCACAATGTGACGACACATACGGGGCACATACACATCAGCATTAATAAAAGGCTTATACTACATTAGTTATAATATATATAATATTAATGATAATGTGCTGTACTGAACAATATTTGACTGAATCAGTTTCCAAGATGCAGTGATGGTCTTGCATATACAGTAAAACCGGTCTAAGTCGACACTCGCGGGACCAGCTTAAAAGTGACGACTTAGAGAATTGACGTGACGACACTTTGGCGACTTATGTCTATCTCGCCGTTTTGTCGACTTTTGCTTGAGTGACGACATTGACGAGTTCCAAGCCGGCGACTTAGACCAGTTTTACTGTAATCCAGTTTGAACATCTAATCATACAAATCACTTAAGTTACAGAACCAGCCTTTTGGAGTGTGCATCTTTTTCATTTCATTTGTCATTTCATTTGTCACTTCATGTGTCATTTCATGTGTCATTTCATTTTGTCATTTCATTTTCCACTTCACTTCACTGTTTCGCCCGCTTTCCAGCGGCCTGCAGGCTGCCTATTACCCCTGGGAAGTGCAATGGCCAGGAAGAGCTCTGGGCCTTTGATTCCGTAAGCGGAAAGTGTGTCTCCTTCAAATATGGCGGCTGTAAGGGAAATGGCAACAAGTTCTACAGCCAGAGGGAGTGTGAGGAGTACTGTGGCGTGATGAAGGACGGTAAGGCCGCAAAGGCGTAGAAGTGTTCAGGTACAGATAACAACAGATACCCTAAGGTGTTATAAAGGAGTAAAGAGAATTCTGATGATGAAACACCCCAGGAAAGGCATCTCTGTTGTACTCATCATTATCATTATTGCCCAGCCATTGCATTATGCTAAGCAGAAAAAAACTGTCCACTGAAAGCTTTGTAAGCCTTTAAAATGTTTTAGTTTAATCCAGTCATCAAACACCTTAATAATACATGCTGGAAAATGGTATAATATAATATAATATAATATAATATAATATTCCCATATAACCCATGTTTTATCACTGTCTGATCATATTTATGTTCAGAATTTATTTTTTATTTTGTCGTCACACAGAAGCAATTGCTTACAGGTAAGACAGGCTGTGAAGGACGTGAGTAATCATGAAATGTTCAATTCTTCTGTATGACAGGAGATGAGGAACTGATGAAGGTCAACTGAAAGTCAGCTAAATGACTGGACAGCAGAACAAATCAACCAACCAGCAAACACAGTGGTTTGGCAATAATGGAGTCATGATTAAACTATACAGTATAATATGGAAACAGAGTATTACCATTCTTTATCCTTCCTGCTTATTTTATTAGTGACTCTGAAGCTCTTTTCTGAAGTGAAACGTTACATTAATGGTGCAACAACATTCAACAGACCTTCTGTCTTTCAGAAGTTGAAATTTCTTTTCCAAAAAGTAAAAATTTAGACCAATATTTTGTTTCAGTCAAGCAGCTAAGTACTCTGTGACTGTGTCTCTTTATACTCAACT